GGGGGGGGGGGGGGGGTAGTGGTGTGTGGCCAGATATGGAGGGGGAGGGGACCCAACCCCTGGCACCTCCTGCCCCACCTGAGGTCCGAGCTGGGAGCCCCATGCTCCCAGGCAGTGGCTCCAGCCCCACAGGCCCATGCAGAGTGGTTGAGTGTAGTGCCCTCTGCAGGGAGTGGGGCCAGGCTGTCCTACCTTCCTCTTTCCCACGCACCTTCCCACCCCCCCCAACCACTGAAAAAATGATTGGGGTAGGGGAGGGTGCTTTTGAACTAAAACTTATCAAATGTGTTTTATTTCAAGGTGCTCTGCTGCCATTTTTTCTGCACAGGAATGCTGATACACATGAGGTGCGAGGCTGCTGGAGTGCATCAACTTCCGTGCTCCAGCAGCCTTGATTAATTGAGTCTGCTCTGACGTGCTGGATTTCCAGCATGTCATAGCAGGCTCTGTGCAAGTGTATATGAGCCCTAACATGAAACTGATGCATTCTATATAAAAAATAAGGGGTTATCTGTGACAGCATAGTCTCCTTTGCATCATCTGCAAAGGAGTTGGTTTTATTGACCCAAAGGGTCATCCTTTCGGATTTGTTAAGCAAAACCACGATAGAATTGTTTTTCTTTTTTCAAGATCGTGTCTTTCATTCACATGATGGCACTGAAAATGTATACGAAGGTGTAGCTGTTCCAATTATTAAGTCTGCTGTCCAAGGATACAATGGTAAGCCTTGCATTGATGTTCATAATTGAATCTTATGGATTTTGTGTGGACAGTGGTCAGTTAACACTTTTTTCATTTTTAGGCACTATTTTTGCATATGGACAGACTGCCTCAGGAAAAACATATACAATGATGGGGAATGAGACTTCTGTTGGCATTATTCCAAAAGCAATTCATGATATCTTCAAACTTATTTGTGCAGTAAGTAAATTGTGATAGGATAAAGGGAATGAAATGTTAGAAAACATTAGCAAGGAAATTAAGTTAGTTTTGGTAAGCCAGGAGGGCAAGGGGGTGAGGGGATGTGTGCCCCTGGATCTGTGCACAGGGCAGGGCGGGGTGGGGCAGCGCAGAGCTCTTTGGAGGGGGTGATGGGGAGGGGCTGCACTCAGAGCAGATGGCATGGTGGGGGGCTATGGCTATGGAGAGTTTTGGGGTGGCTGCAGCCATCTGCCCCGAGCACAGCCTGGCCCAGTTCCCAGCCCACAGCAGCAGCTCACCCCACATACGGATCTGGGTGGTAGGAGCCACGGCCCCCAGACAAGTCTCTTGCGGCTCTGTCCCCACTCTGCCTCTCCTCCTGCCCAAGCCCCAGCTCCAGCCTCCCTCCCTCCCTCACCACAGGGGGCCTCATTCTGTGCCTCCTCCCCATTCCCCTTTCCCCACAGACTTACTAGCCGGATGCCACTCTCCATGCTGGCTGGCAGCATATCGGAATCAGATTGGTATTGACCAATATGGCTAGTTAAAAATCAGCCATCGGGCCAAAAATTCTCTACCAGTGCACCCCTAGTAGAGATCATCTTTCCCTTTGCTTGAGGGAATAGGGAAAAGTACCCTGCTTTAAAGATGGCCAACAACATTAAATATTTTATTGATTTAATTTTTCCTTACAAGTAACTGCTGTTATTAAACATAGTTCCATGGTGATATTTGTGATGAGGAAAGGTAAAGTACCACATTTAAAATAGAATGGGTACTGTGTGCCTTTTCTTTTTGCCCTTCCTCCCACCTCGTCTAACGTTTTTATTTTTAATCTTTAGATTCCGGATAGAGAGTTTCTGTTGCGAGTTTCCTACATGGAAATATACAATGAAACTATAACAGACTTGCTTTGTGACAACAGGAAAAAAAAA